TATGCTAAAGGGAAGCATATTGGACTATTTGGATTTGCCCTTTTAGTGTCTGTTTTCTTTGTCATACCATACACACTGTTCCTTTTGTGTCATCCAGTACTTGAGAAGTATTTGTCACATTTCAAACTGTTTAAGAGCTGGAGTCGTTTCAAGCCTATTATTGATGCTTATAGTGGTCCAATGAAAGATGAGTATCGGTTCTGGCCTGGTCTACTGCTAGTGGCTAGGATACCATTACTTTTATCTGTTACCTTTTTGAAGAGTGAATCCCGCGTCTTGCTATTGGCAGCAGCAGCTTTTATTCTCTCCCTTAATTTTATTTTTGGTGGTGTGTATAGAAAGAGATTAAACAATATCATAGAATTTTGGTTCTTGCTGAACTTGTGCATCATGGCTTCTTTATCTATAGCCTTTACCAATGACAGTAAAATATTGATCTGGTACAATACTTGTTTGTCTGTTTTTATTTTTAGTTTTATTTTGATTGTTGTTTATCATCTTTACCTGCAGATATCGCACATGAAATGTTATAATAATGCTCGAATTAAGAAGTTATTCAAGAATCAAGATGAAGCAGATGAACCACTTCTAGATGTAACTGAATCACATAAAACTGTTGATCAGCAAAAAAGAGAAACTGTGCCAAGTTCTACTGATGTCAAACTCAGTACTAGTAGAGAATCAGTTGTTGAATTGTATTAGTCATACTATTGATTTTTTTTGCTATTACACTAATTATTATTTTTTTATAATTGTTTCTTGAATTTCTTCTTGCTCCATGTGCAGCCACGTGTGCTTCCTGTTTTTGAGAACCCTCAAATCATTGATATTAAAAATACCTCTGCTCAAATTTTGTGGATTAGCCACACCTAGAGTAATTAACGGATGTTCGGATAACATAATAACCTCAGACACTATTACTAGATCAGTTTATCTGCAATAGACTTTTCTTATATATTTTCACATTAGGAGGTGATATTACATGTCAACACAACATTATTGATATTTTATGTCATGGGCCTCATTATTATAGATACTGTAGCTAAAGGGAGTAATGGCAATGAAGAGACTGGAGTAACTGCTACTAGGAGAGGTAATATTGAATATCAATACAACATTATTGATATTTTATTTCATTGGTCTCATTATTATAGGTACTGTAGCTAAAGGGAGTAACAAAGAGAATAGTGTGTTGTTGAACAAAGGGTGTAATTAATTAATTTTTGTGAGCATGCTCGGTTGTTCATTGGGCTTGCAATTATTAAAGAAGAGTTTGTTAAAACAGACAAATCTTTTAATATCTCAACCGATCCAGCCAAGACAAAGTCTTCAAGATGTCTTGACAGTCTGAGAACCTAGAAGAGACAAGCAAGTCCCACACCAGTGTCTTGTTCAATTTGCAACTCGGTCACATCATCTCTTGGCTCAATATGAGCCCCTTAGCCCAGTAATAGCTTGACAGCATCAACCTTTTACTTAGTAGCTGCTTTATCATTCAGTGCAGGAACAAAGACTATATTGCATGTATTGTGTCTGAGACCAGTTGTTCAGAAGGACAGGACTGAACTGGGAATGTGTGTAAGTGCAAATGCTTTCCATTATCCTACATTATCTCAGACTGACATTATACATTGACACCGGCAGATGAATACACAAGATAAAAGTATCAATTTTTTAATGTTACACTATAGAAGTCATCTACATTGTCAATGAGATTCATGTGTAAAGAAGGACCTCACTGAATTGACCCTTTACACAGCTATATACATGTAATACACATGGGTAGATCTAATGAGTGAAGTTGCTGCACTGCATGCTTTTTGTATCTATTGGGGCAAATGCATGATTTGACTATTTTGTATTATAACAC